GAATTTTTTGTAATCCATGATCGAACTATTTTTTTCTTTTTTTGTAATCCACGATTGAATTTTTTGTTTGTTTTTTTTTGTAATCCATGATCGAATTTTATGTAATCCATGATCGAATTTTTTGAAAATTTGTGATTTTTTTTGTTTAATCCATGATCGAATTTTTTTTTGTAATCCATGATAGAATTTTTTGAAAATTTGTGATTTTTTTTTTAATCCATGATCGATTTTTTTGAAAATTTCTTTTTTTTTTTTTAATCCATATTATTCAAAGAGAAAACGAGAGAGATGATGATTCTGAGGCCACCCTATCCCAGCCATATTATTCACATATCGAGTCCCAATAGCAACAGTGTAGGGATGAGCATAAAATACTGTAAATTAAATGCTGAATGGCGGTTCATACAGGGAAAGAACATATCAATATTCGCATATTCATTCAAAAACATGAAAATTCTTAATGGAATACCCTCATTTTTTATTGAATTCCTAAAAAACAATATTTATAATGAATTTTAATAATTTTTTCGAATTTTTTTTAAGCTTTATTCTGACCGATTCACCCGATTTCCGATCCGGATCGTCGATTCGCCGATCCGGATCGGTTTTTTGGAAGCCCGATCCGGGTCACCGATCCGTTTTTTAAACCATCGACTTAACCCCTTAACAAAGGCAAATTTGAAATTTTTATTAAAGTACAATAACATTTTAGAAGTTAGTATCCTGGAATTTATTTATAGAGTGTTCTTGTCTTTTAGTAAAAAAATTGAACTTTACTTTTTATGGAGATGACAAAAATACATTTTGTCTTGTAGTGATATTTATAAAATTATGTTTACTTAATGAACAAGATATTACAAAAGTAATTTTTTAAAAAAATAAATCACAAATTTAGTAAATCCACTTTTAACAATTCATTTTATCTTTTAACTTTTTTAATTTGAAAAGTTGTAAACTTTAGATTATCCCATATATATATATATATATAAAAAGTGATATGATACAATGGTTGTTTCGTATGATGAAACGGTGTGGGGCTTCATTTCAACCGTAGGATCCACTTTAATGTAGTGATTCACGTATAGATAACCAAAACAAATTTGTTTACTGCCAAATTTCAAAATTTGAAATTTGAAATCAAATTTCACCCTAACATTTGAATCCCTCTTTAGTAGCTTGAGTTCTAGCAACCGGGGTCTCTCTCCGTGAGGACAGGGGGTGGGTACTCTCTCCCTCCACTGACCACCTAGGACTCTCTTACTCCGAGAAGTTCTTAGAGAGAAAGAAAGGTAGAGAGAGAATGGAGGTGTCCAGTTCAGAGGAAGGGCAGGGGAATGAGAGGAGATCTAGTGAGAGAGAAAGAGAAGATCCTTGCCTGCAGAGCTCAATGGCTGCCCTAAGGGAAGTGGTCTGTGTATCCCCAATGGTTGCCTTAAATGAGTCATCCACAAAGTTTGCTTGCTGGGGTATCAAGTTTGCTTGGTGGGGTATTAGATGCTAGAACAGTCACTGGTGGGATTTCAGCATTATGCTTTTAGTTGCTTTCTCTGAGCATGGCTTAATGATCAGATGGAGGTCTCGGGGTGTTGCATGGTGGGAGAAACTAAGCAGAAATATTGTCCCTGTACATTGCACAAAACTCATTTTTGTTCCACCATGGGAAGGATTCTCGCCCAAATCTTCTTGTTCATGTATAATAGCAAGCATCCCAGGGCATGACGCCAATGGTCAATCTCAGGAGAAAACCAAGGCATCAGTCGACTCCGACTACATGAAACTTCAAACTAACAATCTTGATCTCTTGTATTAGATAGAATGGGCAGATGGAGAGAAAGTTGTGCTCATGCCCCACAGTCAAGAATTGGGCACTTTCCAACTATAGCTGATCTATCTTTATCTTCATGACAAAAGCCGATATATGGTTGGTTGCCATGAAGAATTGAGCCAATGGCCCTCATTTCTCTAGAAGACTAGGACCTAATTTTAGCTTAATAGTGGACCCACTCTATTACTTCTCAGTGCGGTATATGGTACCATATACCACATTTTTGTCAGAGGGGGTAGATTTTCTTGTGCATGAGGTGTATTTTTCTTCTTATTTAAGTGTATGTAACATGTGAATTTCAACTCTATGGGATTGGAATGAGCAATCTTCCATTTGAGCTGTCATTTGGGGAAGTATTTGAAAACATCAATGAGGGGAGTATTTGAGCTCTCTCAAACAGCTTTTTAGACCTTTGCTAAGAAAAAGTTTGAAAATCTTGACTGATGAATGTTTTCTCAAATTTCAAGCTAAAGGGAACTTGGTATTTTAGGGAACATGAAAATGAAAATTTCTTTCCCCCTTCTCTCTCTCTCTCTCTCATTTCATCTTTTGATTCTCAATATAAAGAATGACCAGGCATCAACAATTCAAGAAGCAACAACTGAATTACAATACCTGCAAAAGTTTGGGGGTTATAAGTTGCCACCAAGGGCTGATATCAATGATGTTTTCCAATTGCAGGCTGCCAAGGTTGGATATGTTATTGAATCAATAAGCACCCAATATCGCTATTGAAAAACCCCTTCTCTCTCTCTCTCTCTCTTTCTCTCTCTCTCCTAGTGCTGCTGTTGCCAC